GATCCATTTGGTGGAGAGCATTGAGTTGTTGCCACGGTTTAGCCTTGCTAAATGTCAGTCATGTTTCTCAAGCACCCTTACCTCTCCCGAAGAGCCCTCATCTAGCTATAAATCTATTTACACCTGATTAGACGTTCTGTCACCTCCGAGGTGGCATGTATTCCCCTGGGGAAACACATTGCCTGGCATCATTGCCAGGGACTGGAAAAGAGGTTCTTGATATTTCCCTGTAATGTAGGAGGTTCTGAAGAGCGTGTTCTGCTCGGAGCAGCATGAGGTGCGCGGACACAGCCGTGACGCCTCGTCTGCCCCTGGGGAGGTGCCCGCCCTCGGTCATGTGTTTCTCCTAGACTTGACTCCTAATGTTTTCATTTTCTCTTCCTTCTGCTTGTCTCCAATAGATTTTTCTTGAGCATTTTCATGCACACTTGAGTTGCAGTGGCTGAACAGTGTGTGAGGTGGCCGAGTATCGTGTATAGGTTTGACATTTTCTGTTTTAGGCCCAGGAATGTGGGAAGTGGAAGAAGGAGAATGGGGAGGGAGAACGAGAGTAGACGTTAGGGAGACAGCTGATTGTGCAGGGGACCTACTCCAGTTAAAACTGAACTGGTCTCCCCTACCCTGTGTGGATGTATGCCTGTCTTTCTTAATGAAAAAAAAAATGTTTCTTTGCTTTTATAAAGAAACTCATACCTCTTATAAAAGGAGAAATATTCAGGTAAGTTCATAGGGTAAACATTAGTGCCTGATGTCTAGCAGTGGGCCCGCGCGATCAAACCACAGCTGTTATCTGCAGCGACACAGTCTTACTGTGCTGGAAACACAGATGACAAGGATTTTACTGCCCTGCCAGGGAGAGTTTATGGCCATGGGTACAGAGCCTAGAAATGAGGCCAGCCTAACCTGATCCCAATTTCCGAACTCTGTCTGTTTCAGTCACTGCTGCTTCATTCTTTCTTAATATTTCTTTCCCCCAATATCTTATTTAGTGGATATTTGTGGAAATGACAACTGGAAGGTAAACTAATCAGAAGCTGGAAAAATAGCTTGATGGATCCCTGTAAATGGAACACCAAGGCATGAATGGGCCTGTCTGTGATATTATCCTGTAGAGCACCTGGCCACAGGCAGGAGACAGTGTATGGTGATTATGTTCAGAACTAGCATCAAGCTGTCTGCAGCTTCTTTCTAGTGGACACAGCCACGAGAGGACCACTGAAATTGCTCCTGGATGGGACAGTTGGCATGTGGTGAGAATCAAAGTAGTGTCAGCATCATTTCCTGGACAATGACTAAGTATGTCATATTATTTGTCAAAATAGAACAACGTAGAGCTAGTCAAAAGCATTCTGTAAAGGGAAAAGCAAATGAAATGAAGAAAGATACTCAAAGACATCTACTTCCATCTCTGTTATTTTCTGTGTCCTTCACAATGGGCTTGTCTGTGATATATGGATCAGTTTGATTGTGAAACTGATTTTGGGAACTGAAAGACTCCCCTTGCTGCTATACAATGTCGTGAGATTTCCTGGTGCTGTGCTGCCTTTAGACTGAGCTTGGTTAAAAAAAAATTACTTAACTTTGGAAGGTCTTTGGGATTGGAGGACATGTTAAATTTTTCCAGTACCTCATTCTCTTTTTGATGGTGTCATATTTCCCCTTTGACATTCACACAGCTTTGTGGGTGATCAATAAACACTGAGTAAATGGTGTCAAGAAATCCCTCCAGAAAGGTTAAGGGTCTGTTACTTGCTTAGGGCTCCCACTTGTTAAGAACAAGCATAAAGAACACACCGAAAAAATATTATAACTTAAAAAGGTCGCCTTTTGGGCAGGTATTATGGTACAGTGGGATAAGCCACCTCTTAGGACATTTGTATCTCGTGTCACAGTTCATGAAAGTCTTGAATCCACTTCCTACCCAGCTTCCTGCTGATGTGCATGCTGGAAGGCAGTGAATAATGTCTCAAGTACTTTATTCTCTATCACCCTTTAGGGAGACAGAGTTCCTCCCTCCTCGGCTTAAGCCTAGTCTAGCCATGGCTATTGCAGGAAGTTGAGGAATGAACCAGCTGTTAGACGTTTCTCTCTTTTTTCTCCTCCCCTCTTTCCTCTTTCTTTCTCTATCTGCCTTTCAAGCAGGCAAATATCTTAAAATGCCTTCAGGTTTCCAATAATGAGGCTACTCTGAGTGACTCAACAATTGGCTGTCTGAGCCACAGGCTCAGAATGTTAATGACAGCTAGTTAGCCCTGTCTCTGCAGCAGCCTCTATGGTTACAAGGGGGGGAACAAGGAATCTGAGATTAACTGAGCATTGACTGTGTGCCAGATTCAGGGATTGTGTCTTATGCATGGTAGTTGATTGAAGCCTCTTATCCAATACAGGTTTATTAACCTGCTCACCACTTTAACTTATAGTGTCTGTGAGGATGTTGTCCAGATCCCAAGAGTGCTGACCCCAGGGTTTATGTGACACTGTGGTTCAGCTACCTACTCTTGAGCAGGTGCACCTTTCCTAAACTTTTGGTTTTAAGGAGCCACAAGGTGAACTTTCATCATGGCTCAGTGATTCATATTTTTCCTCCTAGTTTCCCAAAATGAATGGGTTTCCTCCTGTGCTTCCAGCCCTCCTTCATGTCCTCTTGAATCCCCTTTAAAGAAAGATCTGTGTGTCTCATTCCTCTTCAATGTGAATCTTCCAGAGCAGAGACTCACTAGGGCACCGATTTAATGAAATAAAAATTTCAAGCATGTTTGGTTTGATTCTAGAGAATTGGGAAAGCTTTTGTAGTCAGCTTTAAAAGGACAGAGAAAGGTGAAAAGAAGAAAGTAGGTCAAGTATAGTAACTAGGTAATGTCTTCGTAAGGGCTGCCTGGTGAAGATTTAGCTGATAAAAATGGAGAAACAACGGGACAGCCATAGTACCTTGACATCTGTGTGTCCTGAAATTGTGACTTTGGTGGTTTATAATATTTTATCTATATTGGGAATCGTATGTGCTAACTGCTATTCTTGTTTATATAGTACATATGAGGGTACTTCAAAAACCTATGCCAAATGAAATTGGTTTATTTTGGTACAAGAAGTGAAATCTAGGCATATAGAGGGCTTCAAAACATTCATGGAAAATACATATGATGAAGAAACTATATGTGAATTTTTATATATGTGTAATCTGTAAGGCAGAGAAAAAGAGAACTACCATCTGTTAGTTCACAGTGATTGCGACAAGCAGGTCTGGGGACAGTCTGAAACCAGCAGGCAGGATCCCCCAGCTAGGTCTCTCACACGGTAGCAGGAATCCAAGTGTTTGGGCTACCAGTGCCATTTGTTGCCTCTCTAGATATGTTAGCAGGGAGCTGGATCAGAAGCAGAGAAATTGGGGCTCAAATGAGGCACTCCAATATAGGATGCTAGTGTCACTAATAGCACCTATTGCACAATACCAAGTCCTCAAAAAGTTTTTTTTTTATGTTTTAAAGATTAATTTATTTGGAAGACAGAGTTATAGAGAATGAGTGAGGGGGAGATGGTTAAATGAAGTGAGAGGGAGACATTTTGCATCTGCTGGTTCGATCCTCAAATGGCCACAATGACTGGGCTGGGTCAGGCTGAGCCCAGGACCTAGACACTCTCATGCTCTCCTGTGTGGGTATGTGGGTGCAGGGGCCCAAGCACTTGGATCATCCTCTCCTGCTTTCCCAGGCACAGTAGCAAGGAGCTGGATTTAAAGCAGGGCAGCCTGGTCTCGAGCCAGTGCCCTTGTGGGGTGTTTTACTCTCTGTGAAGTAGGGCCAGGCTCCAAGTTTTTCAACCAAAATAAATAAGCTGTCTTTTTATGGAGCAAATACAAAACTTTCTTTCAGTTAGTTTTTTTTTCCTGTGAGCTTTTTGAAGTACCCTAGTTTATATACTATTTTTTAGAACACCAGAAGTGCAGACAGACTTAGTAACTACCAAAGGTTTGATAGGAAGAGCTGGAACCTGAGACTGGGACTCAGGCTGCTGTCTGAGCTACTAACCGCTGTGTTATCCTGCCTCTCAGCTTCATGATTCCATACGGTTTTAAAGATTCCTTTTCTTAATTAGAACCAGCCCAGCATGCAGTTGGAATGGTAAATATTTGTCATGTGTGGGGACAGACATGATGAGATTAAAAGGAGGGGGCCAAAGCAAAGTTCTGTACTGTCTTTTACATGCTCTTCCATCTGTATTTGCTGATCAAAGAGGTCACTTGAGCACAAGTGCTCAGATTTCATGCTCATAAGCAGCTTCCCTGTGGCTAAAGCCTTGCTCTACAAATTGGCTTTTAAAATATTTTGTGATAATGTCTATTGCTCTCTAATAGGAATGTTCTGAAGTCATTAACTTATGGGCTTCCTAACTAGGACTTTTATGGCAGTATTTTCCATAAATGCCAGGAATTGTCAAGTGGTTTCTGTTTTACTCTCCTGACTCTGCATCCACTCCCACTTACTGGAAGGAGCAGTGGGTTCTGGGAGACCTGAGCTGGCTGCCTGGGCCGTCAGCTACCTGGCTGCAATGGTTTGTGGTAGGAGGGAAGGGGGTGGGGCAGGAGAGTAAAAAGCTTGAAATGGTAAATTACTATAGGTTCTGAAGAAAAACAGAAGCATTTGTGGTTCAGATGAAAATAGCACATTTCCTTTCAGCTTGGACTGTGGGAGGTCAAAGTGCTCTGGGGGGTAGAAAATAAATAAAAATTGATCTCTCACCAGTGCAAGGTAATGCTCTGACTCTGGGAACTGATGTGACAGCTGCAGATCTGAGAATCTTGGGAAACCACTTTTGAAGGTTAAGAAAAAGCTCCCAACACCATGAGACATTAAAAAAGAAAAAAAGGCAGGCTGTATTAAGACATACAGTTTTTCAAGAATGATTTAAACCTCCATTTCTAAGACTGACCACCAGGCATAACAGAACCTGCCCAGCAGCAGGGTGTTCTGTGTCTGACCGTGGCTCTCTATCTCTCCTTACAGGTGAGAAGCCTTACAAGTGCTCATGGGAAGGATGTGAGTGGCGTTTTGCAAGAAGCGATGAGCTCACAAGGCACTACAGGAAACACACAGGTGCAAAGCCCTTTAAATGCAACCACTGCGACAGGTAAAAAGACTTGCCTGCTCTCGGCTGTGGAGGGGAGAGACGCAAGGTGTGGATGTGGGTGGGGTGTGGCCATATGTATGATCTTGGCATTTATCACAAACCTGTCTCATAGGAGACCTTACTTCTCCGTTGAGAGAACCAAAGAGATAGGAACGCTCTTCTCCATGTAGTCCAGAGGTGCTGGAAGTTCTTGAGTAGAGTTACACAGCATTTACTTTGGGCCAGGAACTGTCAGCTGCTGGGTATCAGCAAGACTGATGCTCGAGGAGCTGAAGCAACAGATAATTTTAGTAAAATATGAAAAATTATCAGATAGAAGATGTTTACCTGTAGCTGCTTCTGATCTTTTAAAATTAACATCAATGCCATTTCCCCCCTTCCTTTGTTGGCAGGAAAGAATGGAATGCTTGCTCCTGGGAAGAAAGATTAGTTGTAAGGCATTATTGTAAAAGCATTATTGGAAATGAGCTCCCTCTCTCAAGGGGACTACCTTGTTATTTCCCCCTTGAAAAATAGGTACAAGGGTCCAAAAGACGGCGAGGTTTTCAGAACTTATCTTATAATTCGATTTCAAACCTCCAGCATTTGATAGTAGAAGAAGGAGCACGTTGCACCAGATACTACCCAAGTAATAGTATCTGACAGCCCTGGCATTATCAACCAATAAACCCCAAAATGGAGACTCTGCAGGCCAAGGTGAAGGCAGGATTAGGTTTAGACATAATCAAATAACGGGCTTGCATCTGAGCGTGTTATCCTTCTAATCCTATTTCTGTGTTTAAAAGGAAGCTTAAGAAAATTAACCATCTTTTTAATGCAATACTAAAGGTCTCGGTTATGATGAGAAAAATGCTTCTAATACGATAAAAGCTCCTGAAAGCCTCAGGGTTCCCTGGCTTGGGCAGCAACTTGCAGGATGGCAGGAGGGGGTGTGCAGGAAGTCACCAGAGGCCTGGCTCTCCTTGGGAGGAAATGCGATTGCATTCACATCCTGCCTGCCCCAGACCCTGTGCCTGCACCTCCTGCTCACCAGGCCTTCCTCCATGGCGGTGCTTGTTTGGAAAGCAGAGTCTCATGGATGGCAAGTCAGCTTGGTGCTCCTGTAAGATGCTTATAAAGGCACAGTGATGTTTTTCCGTATTCTTTTTTTCTACTTCCTGAACAGGCTATTTTCCTCTTATCTTCATTCTCTAAGAACTAAATAAAGAGCTCAGGCCTCCTGGAGCCCTAGATAACCTCCCATCCCAGGGCTGAGGAAGTACCCTTTACAAAGCTATTGTCACCCAATCTCCTTGGAGCTCTCTGTCTACAAGGGAGCACAATTCATGGTTTCAGTTCCATCTCCTTCCATAGAAGCCGTACCGAATTTCCAAGAATCAGCAGCTGTTCCACACAGTGTGCTCCAGCAAGAGATCCTCTGTTTATATCTCCCTTCTCAAATGCGCTCCACTCCTCTCTAGCCTTGGCTCGCAAAATAAGCTATGCAGATGGTGACCCTGTCCATAGTCCTTTTGGGGGAAGTATTCCATTCTCTCCACTGGGACAAAGACAACTTCTTTGCGTGTTATCAAATTAGGAAGGTTGTAGGTACACACAAATCCTCCACATCTGAAAGACACTTGGAAAGTTACTCAGAAACTTTGGGCATTATGGGTTGCCATAATCCTTGGAAATAGATAAATGTTTTTAATGGAAGAATTTCCAGAATTAGAGTCCCTCTCTCCAAATCAATGAACTTGAAGAACTTTGGACTTTTTAACAGTCAATGTTTAGGCTTCCATCTGTCTAGCAGGATGATATGTAGAAAAAAAAAGTTCCAAAGGTACTGGATATTTCAGTTGATGACAGAAATGGGGAATTTGTGTAATGTTTTTCTTTGCTTTCTTCATCAATATAAACTGTGGTTTCTGGAAATAGAAGTTTGCTGGACCAATGGTTAAATCCTATGGTGTGGTATTTAGGGAGTTGTGAGTAGATCAATATCTATGGTATAGACCAAAAATAGCATATTTTCAACAATGTCAAAACTGAAAATTGGGCTCTCATTAAGTTCCTCATGAAGGCAGCACCTTGCATTGCAGCTGCAGTGGGTGTGCTGGGGATAGACAGGTTTGGGAGGTGGCATGTGTAAGTGAAATGGTCCCAACAGCAGGTGAAGGGGAAGGCTGGGATGCCTGTGGTATTGGCATTCCTGAGGAGACATTTGTCATTAGAAACAGGGCATCTGTAGCCCTGACTGATGAGTGCACTACTTTTTGCCTTCATAAAACTGAGCATTTAGAGCATCCTATTTTGAAGCTAATTTGAGTGTAGGCTTCCTTTTCCCGTAAGTATTTACTAAATTGAACTGATTTTGCATGCAATGTAGTTAACAAATACACAAGTATTTCAATTTTCCTTTTTCGGGGAGCCATCATTTGAAATTATTACATGCCACCAAAAATGTCTGTATTTCTGGCTTTGTCTGGAAAAGTCAGATGTGACCTTGGTGTGTTTGCACTTCTATTTGACTATCATTTACTGGAGCTGAAGAACATTCAGTGCCATTTTCAGGGGCCATTGATGCTCCCCTGTAGCCTCCTCAGCATGAAGGCAAAGCATTGGTTACCAAATATGATTATGCCTGCTGTTGTTTCCTCTTATGAAAAGGAGCAGTATTTCTTTGTATCCTTTACTTATCAGAAGCACATAGAGAGCTAAAAAGCACTATATATTATCATACTGAGCTGTTACACTTCTGACTTGAGTCGCTTGGCCCTTATAGACACTGAATGTTGGGGCCTCCAGCTCCAGAGTTGGATTAGGGGAGAAAGCAATGAGGTAGCTGTACCATTTGCTCACCATCTGAGTGCATGGTGTGGCCCACCTGCAGGGATGAGTCATTTTCAAGTCCACAGAGTGTAAGACTGTGGAGAATGGTGGACTGAGTTCTGTTTCTATTAGTAGTGGCATTCAGGACATTGTCCCCTTGGACTCAGCACAATTACAGTCTGTTACCAGAATCGTACATCTAAGGTTACAGGCAGTTTGTACCATCTCCATCTTTATATCATTTCACTTATAAGCAATAAAAAATACTGACCGGTATTTTAACCCTTTGATCTCCCAGATGATCATTGTTGGCCTAATATTGGCATGTTGTAGTGCCACTCTTCTATAAAGAGAAAAGGTGATGGGGTTTGGCTTTTTCTTTTTAATACACAAATTTCACTCACTAGGAGTATTTTGGGGATAGAGTTGTAGGAAAGCAGTTCAAGCTGCTAGCTGCTTTAATTCCATGTGGGCACTGGTTTGTATCCTGGCTGCTCCATTTCCAATCTAGCTCCCTGCTAATGGCTTGTAGAAATCAATGGAAAATGACCTAAATGTTGGACCTCTGCCACGCACGTGAGAGACGGGTAAAGCTCCTGACTTCTGACTTTGGCCTGGCCCATAGCTGATGACTGAGCCTCCTTGGGAATCAGCCAGTCACTAAATGGAGGATTTATCTGTCTCTCTGTAATTCTCTGACTTTTGAATAGATAAATAAATCTTAAAAAAAAAATCCTTCTTATTTAAGGTCATCTGGATACTGTGTAGTTACAAATATCATCTGGGGTTATATTACCCTCAAAATTATTTGATTCTGCATTTATAAATGCCAAGCTTATCTGTTGTCCAGTGAGTATAAATTAATGAATAAAATCATAACTAAGAAGTCTGCTGGCCTATTGAATTTAAATAAAAACCTCAGGGATGAGAGACCACATTAAACCCCCAAATTATATATTTCCTAGAATTTGAACAAATCATTACGCTCATTTGATTGATTTTATACCCTGCTTTTTATTTCCTGGAAGAATCTGAAGAGTAGATATGTTTGTATAGATAGATGATGGATAGATGATAGATAGATAGATAGATAGATGATAGATAGATAGATAGGTAATATCCAGCAGACGCTAAAATCAGAGTAAATATTGAACATCTTAAGGGGTACTTCCAAAAGTCTGTAGAAAACGAAACTGAATGGGAATTTTATTTTGGTGCAAAAAGTTTTGAAATCCATGTGTAGATGTTTAAAAATATATAATATATATTTTTCATGAACCTTTTTGAAGACACTTTATACAGGACTGAATAATACCTTCATTTAAATGTCAACATCAAGATTGCTATTTTTCTGAAAATTCTCAGGAAATAGAAAAGAAAACTGATCTTGCCCACTCTTCTCTCAGATTCCTGTGTTTCCCTTTTAGGTGGGTGGGATTCTTTTAAAAATATATTTATTTATTTAAGATTGATAAGTGGATGTATTGATCCATCTGTTGGTTTGCTCCGCAAATGCCTGCAAACAGGGGCTGAAGCCACAAGCAAACAGCGCAATTTGGGTCTCAAATGTGAGTGGCAGGGATCCAAGTGCTTGAGGACCTGATGTCTCCCAGAGCATGCCTTAGCAGGAAGCTGGAAGTGGAAACATGCATCAACCTGGGCATCCCAGGCAGTCTTTGCTTGTCTGCTTGCTTATTTATTTATTTAATTAGAAGACAGAGTAGCAGAGAGGGAGAGACAATGAGAGATTATCTACATGTTTGTTCACTCCCCAAATGGCTGCAATGACTGGGGCTGTGCCAACCTTAAACTGTGGGCCTGAACCTCCATACAGATTTTCTGCTTGGGTAAGAGTGACCCAAGCACTTGCATCATTTTCCACTGCTTTCCCAGGTTTGTTGGCAGGGAACTGGATTGGAAGTGGGGCAATCAGGACTTGACGTCAGTGCCCATTTGGGATTCTGAGGGTTATAGAAGGTGACTTAATCCACTGTACCACAACTCCTGCTCTCTCACCACCTCCACCAGCATTATAACTGCTGCTGCTAGCATCTACTCCATCCTGCACTTGGATTCTTAGTGCTAGTTTTGTTGATTTCTCTTAGGTCCTAACTACTTTTGCTTGTCTAACTTAACTTCAGGATTAATTCTGCTTCTTTTCTCGACCAAATTCTATAAATGTAGTAGTATGCTTATTTACTTCATAAATTTACTGTCTTGTAATTTTGTTGGTTATAAGTCCAACATAAGTCTCACTGTCAGGATGGCATCCTTCCTGAGAGGCTATGGAAGGGTGAGAGGAGTCTGTTTCTTTTATCTTCTGGCTCGTAGAGACTGTTTGGGATCATTGGTTCATGGCCCAATCCTTCCAAAGTGGCCAGTCCTTGTCATGCTGCCATTTTCCTATTACCTCTGTGAGTTCCTCCTAATGACCCTCCTAATGGCCCCATTAGCTCATCCAATATAACCTTCTTAGTCTAAGGTCAGCTGTTTATTAAATAGCATCTACAAGCTCAGTTCCCCTTGGGCATGTAACAAAACACCATCAGGGGACCAAACTTGTGGGTGGCATGTTATTGTACTTGCCACAGTTCTTAAGTTGGGTGCTCTGTGCTTGCTCTCTCTCTCTATCCCTCTCTCTCTTTCTCTTTTATTAGCCTAAATATGCAGAAGAGGCCAAGTGCAATGGTCTCTGGAATCAGAGTCCTGGGGTAAAATTCCTGGCTTTGCCACTTTCTGATATCTCTTCTAGTAGTTGGGATAAACATGGTACCTTCTTTATAGGGGTCTTGTGAAGAGGTCAGAGTTAAAAAGAAGCACCTGCAAGGAGAACTTTGCACCTTGGATCTTCTTTCTCTAAGACCTTGGGATGAAGGAAGTAGACAGGAAGCAAGGAATAAAGGAGGAAGAAAGGCAGGAGAGAGTGAAGAAAGAAGTCAATGAGCTGTGTTCCAGGACACAACAGAATTGTGCATTTGAAATGCTGACTTTCCTACAGGTTACTACAGTGCATTTTCTGTGTAGCAGAGAGATGAAGTATTGGCTTTTAAAGAAAACTTACAGTTTTGTAGCAAATCAAATCCCATGTAGGAGTCTCTTTAAGAGATTATGCAAATAAATTACTCATAGCAAATCAATGACTTATATAAATGCCTGTAAAAGGAATTATAATTATACAGAATGTTAATGGATTTCATTGTTTTCTGGTGTACTTTTCCCGTTCTTATGTGTCATTCATTGAACTTTATCCTGCTTCATTTCCTTGGAGTTTTCCTCAGATACACCTATTTCAGGAGTGGACACAAACAGAGGGCATGGAGAATATTGGTGCTAGGAGAAGGGTCGACTTTTGTTTGTTTGTTTGTTTTAAGCATGAACAGGGACATGACCAGGGAGGTTCTGCCTTGGACATGAAATCCAGCTAACCTGATGGGTGAGCTTGCTAATATCCTTACAAGAGTTTTAGACTGTGGAGTGTCTCAGGCTTCAAAAGGAGTTTGGAAACTTAATTAGAATTAAAAAATAGAAAGAGCCAGAAGGAGAGCTCCTATAAGGACAAACAAAATTGACTACTGATTACTGAGATTCTAGTCAGAGTCTTAGATTATAAGATAATGAGTGGAAATGCCCATGCTATTAGCCATAAAATACAGAAACCTGACTCAGATTGGTATGTGTTTCATAAAATGTTTTTTAGCTCTGGTAACTAGAAACTAAGTTAGCTTTGTCTTGACTTGGCTTTCAGATGCTGTTGTTAGCACTCCTTCCCTTTCTGTTCCTGGGATTGCCTTCTTCTCTGTTGGCTTCCCTGTGGACACCAGCCCCTCCAGGCTTGTGCATTAGCTTTTCTCTTACTTCCAGCTAGTGTCCCAGAGTTGCCTCTCATTGGCCCTCTGGGCGTCACGTGAATGCCTCGTAACAGATTACTCTGGCCGCATCTTCAGGGTAGGAGGAAGGGCAGCTCCATACATCTGAGAACACAGAGGATTGCTTGCTCCCCAAGAGGAAGCTATCAAGTTGATTGGGCCAGAGGAACGAGGAGGGAAAACAACTCCGGCCTCCACCCTAACACTGAGGAAGGCATTCAGTTATGGACATCAGGCTTCAAGGAACAGTTCCAGCAGAGGCTTGGAAATTTGCATAAGTTTTAACCCTCCTTCTGCACCTACAAACTGTGCAATTGTAGTGTCCGTTTCCTTATCACTCACTCTCACTGGGGAGGGTTGCTGGGATGTCACTGGGGTCATACTGGGGAAACCGCTAGCACAAGGCATGTGTATCTTAACATGTTCAACAAGTGTGATCATTCTCCTCCACTCTTTCCCTTGACTAGCACATAGGCCTTTAGTTTGAACTGGCAGTCTTTCTGAGTTTTCATAAACAGTTTAGAGCAATGTGAAGTTCAGGATTGACAGCTGGGTTTTCACTGTCAGATATCACTGATATTAGCTACTTTTATACATATTTAAACTGTCTTTATAGGATATGGGCATGGTACACTTCTAAAATACTTTCACACTTGTGTCATCCTCAGTAATTAGAATTAAGATCACAGTAGTTGTTGCGCACTGAGATTTTCTGTATGCCAGTTTTTAAAAGTTTTTTGGGGGGGAGGTTAAAACTGAACAACTTTTTTAACATCCTCCCACACTCCCTTCAAAATGTAGACATTTTATAACACATATATTAATTTCCTGAAAGCAGAGATATTAATGTCACAGAGTGAGGGGTTCATGTTGATTATACTGGACAAAGAAAGGTGTATTGTCATGTACAAGATGTAATACAATGAAGAAATGTTTATAACTAAGTGCCAAAAGATTTGAAATCCAAACAGTTTTTGTATACTTATTTTTTTAATTTATTTGAAAGGCAGAGTTACACAGAGAGGGGGAAGGGGAGAGACAGAAAAAGGAAGAGAGAGAGGGAAATATTTATCCTCTGATTTATTACTCAAATGGCTATAATAGCCAGAGCTGAGTTGCTCCAAAGCTGGGAGCTAGGAACTTCTTCCAGGTCTCCCATGTGGGAGTAGGGACCCAAGGCCCTAGACCTTCTGCACTGCCTTCCCAGGCCATAAGCAGGGAGCTGAATCAAAAGTTGAGCAACCATCAGCAGAACTGGCACCCAATGTGCTACGCTGGCATCACAGGCAGATTAGCCTACTACACCACCAGTTTGTATATTGTCCATTTATATTAACTCCTGAAAATAAGAGCAAACATGTAAAATTTCTTTTTCTATCTGGCTTATTTCACTTATCATGATGGTCTTCAGTTCCATCTACCTTGTTGCAGATGTCAGGGCTTTATTTTTTAAGGCTGAGTAGTATTTCATCATGTACATGTAACATATTTCTTTATCTAGCTGTCAGTTTAAATGTCATCTTATAAGAATGTGCTCTTAATGTTTCCCACTTTACCGAGGAAGATTTAAGGTAGAGGTTAATGTGCTGAGAGTCACAGAGCTATTAGAACTGACGTTTGAACCCCAGCGGTCTGACCCCTGAGCTTACCTTCCCTGCGAACACATCACCCAGGTTCTCACTGCATATATGCCACACCCCTCTTAAAGATAGGTGGAATCATTTATTGTGGGGTGATTGAAGTAGAGATCTTTGCTTGAACCTCTCTAATTTCTCTGTTTGTATTTTCTAGGTGTTTTTCAAGGTCTGACCATCTTGCCCTCCACATGAAGAGACATATCTAAAAACCTTAAAGGCCAGAGTTGCCATGGCATCGGCCAATATCTGAAGGAATGCTGTGAGGCAGGGGGCTGGACTTCAGGAGGGGACTCAATGCCTCTCAGAAGAAAGTTCTCACTTATAAACCTCTGTGTACACACACGCACACACACACACACACACACATCCATACACACTCTCACACCGACCTACACACATACGCTGCCATGCACTCAACTATAATTAAATATATACGTCTATTCTTTATGCCTTGCCCTAGCCAGATGGTAGAAGATGAAAAAGAAGGAAAACAGGTGAACTCAGCAAGGCAGACTGGCTGCTGACTTCAGCACTATTGGAATTATTTCCCGCTGTTGCCAATGGAAATCAAAGAAAGTGGATGTGACGTCTCTGCGGGTGGACGGCAGTACGAGGGGCTTATTTAACTTGCTTCTCAGTGCAACTTGATAGGAGAACACAACGTCTTCGAGTTGCATATGTGTAGCACTAATGTTTCTTTTTAAATAGTTGGGGAATATGACCTAGAAAACCAAATTGCAGTTTGGTAGCCAAAATTAACTCTTGGTTTATTTGTCCTTTGTGTGTGAAAAGTCCTACTATTCCGTGCGTCAGATTTCCTCACAGAACTGTTGATTGGTTTTGATTCTTTTTAGTGCCACTGAGATCTTTCCAGTCGATACCAACGGCCTTAGGGCGGCAGACTCTGGAATTACACCTTACACCTCTCTCGCCTGCATTTCTCTAGACTTCACTCTCAAGGGAGGAGTTTTCTTTCCTTACTTTTTGACTTTTGCACACCATATGCACTAGGGATTCTGGAAACTTCTAGCATGACTGCAAAGTGGCCAAGAGAATAAAGTCCTGATGATACATCACAGTATATCCCTTGAGCCTCACCTTATTGCCAGTGCTAGAATTTTTCTTTTTAATCTCTCTGTTTTTTGCTAATGAAAACTTGAAAAGCTTATTTGGAAGCTTAAACGTTTTATCTTTCCTCCATGGACTAAATCTCTCCTGAACTCTCTCCGCACCTGGATGTGCAGATCTCGAAGCAGCCAATCAGATGGGACATCACAGTTCTCTCTTCCTCCTTGAGGCATAATGACCTCAGCTTGCAGTGATGACCGCTGTGCTGTGTGTCACTGCTACCCTAGAACCAGTTCCAGGATAGATGTCGCTAGTCTCAAAGGGCAGCTGCGTACTGAATCTAACTCTGGGTTACGACCTGACACAAAGCCAAAAATATCACTCTTGCCAGGAATGAGGAAAACTGAGGATGCCTCCTAAGTCTAGTGGCTTCATAAAACATCATCCTCGCTTCCTCTCTCATACCCGATGAGCTCATATTACTTGTCAAAACACACAGTTCAAAATGCCATTGTGGGAATGAAGGGTTGACCTTTAAGGAAAGGGTTGAGGTGTTTCTCTCATAGTCTGTCTAAAAGGGAAGGCATGTTTCTAATTTGGTTTTGGCTAGGCCCACCATGACTTACGACCTACAATACCCATGGTCATCAGAGGCCTTTCGCTCTGCAAACTGACTCCAAGGGGGTTCACATTCCTCACCTGTCACCCCACCCCCCACACATCCAATACTGGTCTCTCTACCCACATTGTTAGCTAGCTGGCATTGGCCTCATGTCCAAAGACTGCCTTTAGGACCACTAAATGGCCTATGCAAGCAAGTGGGGTGGTTATTAGGACAGATTGTATATTTTGTATATTCTGGGACCATCCCTTCAAGACAAGTCTAAAAAACAAAAATGGCATTTGGTCCGCACGTGGCTGCTGCTCCTTCATACCAGCTGGCTGCCCTCCTGCCCTCCTCAGACTGTTTGACTCATTGACTGTTAAAATGCCACCCCATATACATTTGGGATGCAAAACTGAAGTCATTAAAAGGAAATCATAATATAAGAAACACAAAGACAGGTATGACAGCAACCTTCGAGATCCTTCGCATTTGGGTTTTCTGCTTTCTGCAACCATTGTTTTCACTGGGATGTTGGAACAGCTCGTCTGGAGGTACAGGCACCTCCGATCACAATGCTGTAGCTGCCAGCCGGACACTTGGGGCATTTTGAGGTCTGGCCCTTAGAATTTTCTTTGTCTTCATTTTTTTTTTTTGAATTTAGACCAAAAAAAAATAATAATAAAAAGAAAAAATAAAAGAAAAAGAAAAAAAGGGAAAACATCCTAAACATTCACTCATACACAAAATCTGTCCATTTGCCGGAGGCAATTATGTATGTTAGTTGGAGTGTATTAAAAAATCCATTTTATTCCAAAGATTTAAAACTAGACATGACTTAAAAACAAGCTCTGGAGCACTGCTTGCTGACAATCTTGTAGTTCTCTACTGCATTTGAGTGCGTGGTGTGGCCAGTCCATCAGGGCATACCATGGGATTCTATTTGAATGTGTGGAGCATCCTTTCTGGATAAAGGATGTGTGAGGAATCTTGAACCTCAGCTGTATTAAACTGTAGCGCCTCCAGTCAGTGCACTAGATGAAATTTTAGATACCCCAATTTTTGTTGTTTCCTTTTTATTCCTTTCTATAGCAGCATCCAGCACCCACGCACGCACACACCAGTGATGGCACTGAGCCATGGCTGTCAAGATTTACAGACGTTCTCTCCTGAGCTGGAGCTGCTCTTGTCTCTCAAAATGATATTATTATTAAGGGTTTATAAAGGTTTGAACTGATCAATGCAAGGCTCTATTAAAAAGAAAGGTTTTTGTTTTGTTTTTTTTTTTGAAAAAAAAATGCAAGAGTAATCATTACTTGTCGGTTCCCTTGTTGTCATCTGTGGTCTCTTTTGGATGTGGCAGAACAAAGGCCCTTTGATCCTCATCAGTGTCTGAGATGTTTAGTAATTTTTCTCTTTTGTATCAGTGAGGTCCTTTGTAATCTGCTCCTGAGCTTCCTCAGAGCAGGGTGCACTGTAACGCCATGATGGTGCTTGCTTGCTTGCTTCAGTGTCATCTGTTGACTGTGAGAATTGGCCTGAGAATCTGGTGGGTGCTAAGTGTATGGCTTTGAAACTGTTCTCTAGCCCAACTTGACACCTGTGAGTGGTAAACCGTCCTCTCTATGGGGATCGGGACAGCTCCAACTCTTCTGGAAGTAGATTTATGATAAAGTGTCCAACATCTTTGAAAGAGCAGAGATGGTCCTTAGGAAACTCTAAACAGCCTGAAGACAATTTCTACCCCCAAAAGACTGGTTCTTGAAAATGCTTTGGTGGATATTTGAAACACATTACATCCATTTCTCATTTAAACTGTTACCTCCTAACATTCCAGGGGATCCCAAACTTGCAAGGAGGAACCTTGCATGGTGTTTCTGCAGTTGCCCTCCCCAGCACACCCTTTCCAGGGTTCAAAGTGTGATATGTAGAAAAGTGTTTCTTAGCCACTGACCATTTTCTTTAAGTTATGCTTCTTTCTCCTGCCACATGGCTGTAAGTCAGGGATGTGGAAACGTGAAATTAAGTTGCCACTCCTAGCTACTGGCCCCCGGCCCCATTACAGGTTGATTGGCCCGGCTTAATGCCTGGTGGTGATGAGTGTCATGTCCAGAAAAAGAAATGTTAGAATTCTAGGACAAAGCTGCATTTTGTCAAAATATTGGAGGCCCCAACAAGTACTCCATGCCGACCGTATCCTCCTCTCCACACGCTTTCCCTTGCTCTCTCCTCTCGACGCCATCACTCCCCAGCTGCACCTCTTGTGCCCTTTTTACATCTTTGCTAGCCTGATTATAACAGGGTATAAAGACAGCCAACCTCATGCATGTTAACAGAACTGATTCCTATGAAAAAAAAAAATCTTCTTTGAATCCATAGAAGATTTTAAAGAGACTTTAGTTTGGGTTGAAGTTTGAGCTTACCCATGTCTGTTTGCATTAAAGGGTAAATAAACGGGGGTTGGGGGGTGGGCTGCTTGTCCAGTGTATCCAGAACATTCTGCCAATGGCCCTCACTTCTGTATTTGGTGTCAAAGCCCAAAGAAAGAAACTCACATTGCAAGAAAAACAAAGTGTGATGATTAGGTTTGCTGATTCAAATGATTTCCTCCTCAGAGGTCACTTCCTGCTATGTAACGTAGAATGGTAAGTGCTGGTACTGTTTTCAGGAACGAGGAAAAAGGTAGGATAGGTCAGAGATGCCACATAATTTACTATAAAATTAAAAGACGTTGCTTGTTTCTTTCTTAAAAAAACAATCTGGCCACAGCTTTGTACCTGGAACATTGCCAAAGTGAAAGTTCAGGAAGAAGGACCTGATTGAAATTACTCCTGGGAGCTTTCCCTGGCCTTTTCTAAAACTGGTCATCCACCAAGCTCAGGAGTGGGGGCCGGAGCAGCAGGTTGGAGTTCTGGGTACCTGGATGAGAATCGGTGAACAAGGTGATAGCTCGATGTGAATACTAAGCGCCTGAATTGACACCAATGCCTCTTTGCTGGCCTGTTTTCCTGGGTGAGGATCTTTGGGGATGTGTTGAGAGAATCAGCAATTGCTTGTAAATAATGTGATAACCCGTGACTGACTGCTTGGGGTTTCAGGTGTTCTCTGGTGTTTAACATTCTGCTAACTCCACCTCTGTTGGTTCCTAAAAGACCCTGGAAAGGGGAAAGATCAAGCTGCAATTAACTTTCTCACGTGCATCCTTCCGATCTAGTACTGTACTCTTGGAGTGTTTTGCGTTTTACATTCTCGGGAAACAGGTATCCAAAATGGAGGGAGAAATCCCAGGTCGCTGCTCCCACGCAAGGTCCTCTTCCAACAGGGCTCCCTCTCACGAGGGAGGGGGATGGCGTTCTTTGTTGGAGACTGATTATACAGCTTTTCATTTTCAACTGTGAGCTTTGGAATCGCACATCGCTTTGACTCCAGCTTCTGTCTACTGCCCTAAAACCGACCCCACGTCAGACAAATGAGGGTGGTATGCGTGTATGCGCCCAGACACATGCGCACGTGTATCTATTGTACCTTCGCGGAAGGAAAACAGGCTACTGACGTTTTAAGAGGAGTAGCCACCAGTGCCTAATATCTTTTGCGGGGGATGGATGCTTATATTTGCCAGTCTACAGAGACCACACTGGGAGTTCCACGTGGAGGGGAGGGCTTGTGGGAGGGGACAGGGGACGGGTGAATCCTAGGCCTATGGACTGGAGACATAGTGATGGGGTCCTGCAGGCTTTGGGGCTCGTTGGCTGTTTTTCAGTCTTTTTTTTTTTTCTTCCCAGCATGCATTCCCTAGCTAAACCCAGTCTCAGTATGACTTCCTGATCTTCCACTTCAGCTTCATTCCAGGGAGGAAAACTATACCAGTTATGGCCAAGATCTCCTTGCTAACACACAGGCAAAAATCAATGTTTCATATTCTGACGCCTCCCTCCCCTTTCCCCAACCCCCCCACCCTTCGCCCACTTCCTGCTCTCACCATACAATTTCCCAGCCACTACACATTTTAGTTCAAATCTCTATTATCCATCTAACAGTTGCTTGAAGAAATTGAGTTTTGCACTATACATTTTCTTTTTGCCAGATGTGTCTAACAAGTGTGTTTGGAGAGACCTGCTCCCAGCCCCCATCCTTCACCCTGTACCCCCTGGTCACATTCTCTCAGGCCTTCTCTGGTATTTATAATATATCACAGAAGTACCCAGTCTTATAGCCCTCGGTTATGCCTTTTTTTGACATTTTATTTTTTTTAAGCTTTTTATATATATATATAAATATATTACTTTGTCAAGTTTTTTTGCTGTACAAAAGTCTTAAGATTTAAAACTATTATTTGTATTATATGATGGTGGTATGTTAATGTTACAAAATTATTAATGAAGAAAAATTTATTTTTGTTACTGGTCTGTTTCATAATTCTTTTTTAAATTGGTATATTGTAAGATATCTATGCAAAAAATGTTATGTGACGCATTTTTATTTAAGAATGTAATATGTGTAATAAACAGTAGAATGTGTTTGGCCTTGGAATGCCTTACTGTATTTCTCCTGAGCTTATTTACTAAAGGGAAAAAATCCTCAGAAAGTCACAGGTGGATATTTCCATACCTCACAAAAGTTTTCTTTCTCAGAGAAAGGGAAGGTAAAGGTTGTAGTATATGGTTTTGTTTGTGAGGGGTGTGTGTGTGTTTGTGTGTATGTGTGTGAATTTTATGATTTCAGTGGGGGTAACTCTGTCCCAATAAGAAGGGATGTTAAAGACAGTTTATTTCCTCAAGGGGAGAAAACAAGCAAATGGCTGGTGGTTATGAAAAGCAATATTTTAGAATGAGGTAGATTATGGAATGTTATTTGTTTAGGGGGTTGGAGGAAGCTTATTGAAAGCAGTTTATTTGGCGAGAGAAGGAGACAGTTGTTCCGTGATGGCGTGAAATATAGCCTATTTGGAAAGGATTATTTGAAGCAGTCTGTGCAAGGAAGAGGAAAGCAAAAGGCTATAGGGAATGACGTAGAGGAGGGTTGGGGGAGGAAATTTCCAGGTGATACTTGGTAACCAGGTAGGCAAAAAATGGCCTACTAGGGGCAGAGAGAGTCTAGGCTGCGTTGAGTACAAAAACAGTAGGTGCAAATAAAATCAGCCCCAGATTCCTAGAAAATAGAGATGGAAGGGCTTGGGGGGCACAGGGTGGGCAGGATTCTCGGAAGCGTAAAGATCACTCTGAAAATCTTCTCGTCTGCACTTAGTTCCTAGGGAGGAATCAGAGTCAGGAGGAAGATAGAGAATCAAACTGGTGTCCCTAGCCCGGTGTCCTTATACACCGAGTCCTCCCGTGAAGGATGTCATTAGCTGAAACAGCAAACATGTTTGTCACATGCGACATGCTGCTCATCAAGCTTTCCTTGCCCTGTTTGGATATGGAAGTGGGCCCGGTGGTGAGTAACCTGCATCCTTAATCAAGAGACTCTTATGAGACACTTTGAATAAATGTTGACATTAGAAACCATGGCTGCGGTGACCGCACTGGCTGTGTGGGCACAGACGTTTCTTAGTCTTTGAACAGCAAAATAGGGGTAAGGAGTGGGGCAGAAGATGTGGATGGGAAACTCAGTGATTGTGTCTGTTCCCCAACAAAACATAAGGTAAAGAGAACAGGAGGCACTGCAGGGTCAGGGAAATGTTTTAGAAAATTAAATATGAGCTGCCACATTTCCTGAGCAGGCCAGCGAGCTGGGTACATAGCATATGAGAGCTGACCTACCAGAAATGTCATGATCCTTGCAGGTTACCCAGAGACCATAGAACTGCCTCCCAGGCCCTGATCTTTCCATTGCTCCAGCACTAGATGGGAAATTGAATTCTCAAAACCAAGATCTTTCAGCTAGAAATTTATTTGAGCAAGAAGGGAGGAGATAGTGTTGAGCGATTACTTTGAATAAGGTTTATTAATCTGTTTCTCTGGCTTACAAAAGGATATGAAATTGAACATTTTTGATGGGGGCAGCCTGCACTGCACTGAGGTTAAGAGGAAAGAGTGGTAAGTCTAAACTGGCATAAGGAAATGAGATTTTGATCTCTGCGAGTGTTCCTGAAAACTAAAGTCCTACTATTTCGACTCACTTTTTGCTCAATGTAGCTCTCAGTGCTTGCATGTTAACAACTTTATCACCTTTCTGAGCCTTTTTGTTGTAATTTAAGGTAAATTCAAAGGTCACTCCACATAGCAGAGTTGCTTTCCCAGACATTGAATAAATCTGTCTTTTATATCGGGCAGCTGCTAATTTCTCTACTATGTTCTCCCTATTTGGAAGGTGCAGATACTTTCTGCATTACCTTTTTGCAATATTTATCTCTTTGTCAGCTGTGGATCAAATAAGCAGCCTTGGTAACTTAAAAAGTGCAAAAATAATTGTAATTCAAATCCAATAGTCATCTGCTGGAAGCAAAGTGCCGTAAACCTTGTGACAGCTGTCATCTGAGGTTGTGTATCCAGTTGGGAATGCTGGGCTAATGGAGTCTCATGAAAAACAGATTGTAGAGAAAAGCAAATTGATAAATAATTTAGTATTCCTAGCCCATGTTCTACTCAGGAGTTTAGAAAAGAAGATGGTTAAAACTTTAAACTGAAGCAAGATTTTTGAGGTTTCCGGTAGGGAAGATGGCTTCTTCATGATGATCCAGTTCAAAGTTTCTCCTCCTACATTATGCACTTTAACTGGGCCTTTAAAATCTATCAGTAATGGTTGACTTGAAATTGATTTAACTTAAAAAAAATCCTGCCTGATCATAGTATGCTTATACACATACCCATAGTTTAAAAATGAAATGATGACAAAGCTACAAGAGAGTGGGAGAACAGACTTATGTTTGCATAGATAAGCATCATTCACCATTATGATTAGTTGCTGTTTGAATGAGAGAAACTGGGGTTGCAGAGAGAGATAAATACTACATGATCTCATTTATATTTAGAACCTAAAATAGTTAAACTCATGAAGCAGAGAGTAGAATGTTAGTTTCCCTGGTCTAAGTGAGAGAGTTGGAGAGATGCTAGCCAAAGGGTACCAAATTCAGTTTACTAGGAGATGCAAGTTCAAGAGATTGATTTTAAACATGGTAATCATACTTACTAGTTCTGTGTACCATTGGAAATCCCTGACTAGATCTGAAGTGTTGTCATGACAAAAAGTGAAGACCATGTGAGATAATGCTTTTGTGAATTAGCTCAGTGAAACTATTCTACAATGTATACATGCTTCAAAACACAATGCTGTATGTAATATATATCGTGTTTACATATCAAATATAATTTAAAAACAGAGAAATTGAGACTAAAAGAGGATACGTGACTTGGTCAAGACCAGGAGAATGGCAAGTGGTAGGGCTGGCTTAGACTTGTCATGTCTTCCATGGCAGCAGGCTCTCTTCTATAAAACACTTGGAGGGATACAGGCTGTCTTCTTCAATTTCCCACATGACTCAAGTCCATTGAGGTTCAACAGAGAACAGAACAGAGGTCCCTCCAGGCAGGGGTGTTAATAAGTGGTCATGCTCTATTAATCTGAGCAACATTTCTTAAACTTTAGTATGACTCTCAAGAACCTTGCAATATCTGTGTGCTGCTAATTACTTGCTTAGTCATTTTTTAAATTGATGCACTTTAAAAATTCTAAACATTTAGCTATGTCCCAAGGAACAATATTCCCAAACTACTGGTTTTGTAATGTATCATTCTATTAAGTACAGAAGAAAATAAATACTTCAAGATAAAAATGCTCATTTGTTACATTAAAGCTTCCAATTACTGACAGTAGTACGTGAGAGGCATTATTCTGTGCCCTCTCTAAAATCCATACTGCACCATTTTTCTTTAGCTAATTACTTAGTCTATATGGTGCTCCTCAGAGCATATTTTCAAATTGAATCTAAAACTAAGTGCATGTGAAAATTTAATAAAGACTGATCTGATGCCTGGGAAGTTACTTGAGGAAGCAGAGGTCTTTTAGGAGGATGAGGATAATGTGGTCTGGGAGTGGAATAAACAGTACTCTCTGAGCCTTATTTCCCCCTCCTTGGAACACCCTTCTTCCCTCAGGGAAAGACACACTCTGAAGCTCATGGTTAAGTCATGCCTCCATTCTGCAAAGGGAACCCTGACTGTTGGACACTGGTTGCACCAAGAAAGTCTTACTCATCTCTTACTTTTCTCAGGCAATGCCCATGCCTAGAGACTGGTGCATGGTGTGAGGTTCAGTTTTAAACATGCTTGCCTGCTTTCCTGGATGCCCTGAAGCCAGCCTCTCTACATGCATCTGTACATACAACTCAATTCTTCAAATATTTCTCCAACCAGTATCCAGAAACTTGCCATCTTACTGTGTAATATTCCTTTTTTTTTTGCCTAAAGTGTTTCTATTTTTAAAGTACAACTATCCAGGAAAAGGTAACTCTTTATGTTCCATCATACATACTTTAATGCACATGAGTTTCTTCCTTTCTTACGAAAAGGTTAAGTGTGAAGCAGAGGAGAGATATGATGATCACAAGTGACAGAAGTTTGTAACCAACCTGGAGACATGGAGTTGGGAGAGGTAAGCAGTCAGGCAGGTAGTACTTTGCCCATCATTGTACTGAAGTGGTATTTAGTTCCTAGCAGATTCTCCTGTATTATCAAAATCAGTCCCACAGAGCTTATCACAGGAAATAGCCTCACAGCAAATGCATAACCTGTGTTTGGATAATGATGGCAAATTTGGTCCTTCATTTCTGGGCTTGATTCTGTTCTTCCAGCTTCCAGATCTTAAGGTGAACGGAATGTCCTCAGTCCCTTTATACAGTTGGGATATATTGAGCGACTGTATATTTAGAGAATCATCATTTGTGGACTCTAACATCAGAGCTAAAGCAATAATGATCTATTTCTGGGGCTCGGTGACATATTGTGTTCTTGGGGTTAGATTTGTAGACTGTTCTGAGAAGTATATAAGCCAGAATAATAGGATCGCTATTCAAAGAAACCTGTCTTTTAGACATTAAAAGTCTTGATATTATTTATATACTCTAGTAAACTCAGGGAAACAGATCAGATTGATTACTTCAAACCTAAATGATTTGACTCAGGGTCAAATTTTGAAAAATGTTTTCCATGCCCTTTTAGAGACATCTAATACAATGTGCATAGTTTCTGATGACAATATGAACGAGTGGCCAAACTTCACATATTTTCTTTGGTTCTGCATAATAGCAATACCTTTATTCGCAAATATTTTTTCCATGTCTCTTCTCATTGATTCTACTTTCCTGTCTTTGCTTTCTATCTCCTCTTTACCTTCCAGCATTTGCAAATATAGTACTATAAGGGCTTAGCTCCAAAGTCTTTGGAGGGCATCTTTGTGGAGCTCCTCCGAGGACATGGTGCCATCTTCCCCAGGAGCTCTTTCAGCCTCCCTCACACACCTGTCACTGTTTTCCAGTTGGAAGGAATCTACTTCTCAGCATAAGGTAGGGAGAAGCTCTTTA